CCAAAGGAGGCTCCATCCTCACACAAGGACATTTGCTCGACTATGTTCATAGCAATTTTATTAAAAATATCCAGAAACTGAAAATAACCTAGATATCCCTCAACCAAAGACTGGATAGACAAAATGTAGGACATTTACACAGTGGAGTACTACTCACCAGTTTTAAAAAATGGTATCATGAAACTTGTAGGCAAATGGATGGAACTAGAAAAAAATCATCCTGAGTGAGGTAACCCAGACCCAGAAAGGCAAACATGGTATGTATTCACTTATAAGTGCACAGTAGCTGTTAAGTGAAGGCTACTCAGGCTATAATCCACAGATCCAGAGAGGCTAAGTAACAAGGAGGGTTCAACAGGGGATGCATGGCTCTCCCTAGGAAGGGGAAATGAAATAGATTCTTCTGATGCGGTGGGTGGGGGTGGGAACAGGAGGAATCAGGTAGAGGAAAGAAATGGAAAGATAAAAAAAAAAAAAAGAAAGAAATGGAAAGATAGAAAACAGAGCATTTGAAGTGTGGGGCGGGGGCGTTGTAGAAACTTAGTGCAGTCAAAACTCCCAGGAACCTACAAGGATGACCCTATTGAGGACCTCTAGCAATGGAGGACATAAAGTCTGAATTGTCCATCTTCTGTAACCAGGCAAGACTTCCTCTCATGGTGGGACTGGGACAACAATCCAGACAAAACTTTTGAACTACAACCTGTCTTGCCTGCGAGATGTGCTGGGGCAATGGTGGTGAAGAACTTCTAGAAGCAGCCAACCAATAACCGGTCTAACTTGAGGCTTTAACAGGGAGCCATGCCTGACACTGCCTTGATGACCAGGAACTAGAGGCTGGATAGCCCAAAGACCTAGCATGAAACCAGACTGGTCAAAACCCAAAAACAAACAAAACCAAAACAACAACAAAAATGATACCTATTGATGTTCTGCTATACTCATAGATGAATGCCTAGCTCAGATGTCATCACAAAGGATTTCTCCAGCAGCAGATGGCAGTGGATGCAGAGACCCACAGCTGAACATTTAGCAGAGACAGAGCCCAAGTTGGTAGTCTCCATAGGGTCCCACCCCTTGGAGCTTGGAGAACCCTGTGTAAGAGTGGAGGGGGAATTGTGAGGTTGAGGACACTAGGAGAGCGCCACCCACAGAACCAACTAAGCAGGGCTCATGGGGCCCCTGAAGCAGTCTGTGTTATGTCCTCTGCATGCATATACATGTATTACAATTGTTGGCTTGGTATTTTGGGGGGACTCCTTACAAAGGGAGTGGATGGTGTCTCTGACTCTGTTGCCTATTCCTGGGATCCATTTCCTCCTACTGGGTTTCTTTGCCCCGGCTTGAGGTTTTGTGCCCGGTCTTATCATACCTTGTGCCATGTTTGGTTGATGTCCCTGGAAGGACTGCTATTTTCTGAAGAGAAATCGGGATGGAGTGGGGATGGGGGAGTGGATCTGGGGTCAAGGAGAGGTGGGGGAAATCTCAAGGAGTGGAGGGAGGGGAAGGAAGAGAAAATGTGGTCAGAATGTATTACATGAGAGAAGAATAAATTTTAAAAAACTTATCTACCATTACTTCTTTAATTTGGTTTTACTTTTTCTTTGGGGACAAGAGTGGATATGAATAGAGGAAAAGGTTTGTTTATTTTATTCATTCGTGTATTTTATGTATGTCAGTGCTCTGTCTTCATGCACACCAAGAAGAGGCAATCAGATCCCATTATAGATGGTTGTGACCCACCTTGTGGTTGCTGGGAACTCAACTCAGGATGTCTGAAAGAGCAGTCAAGCGCTCTTAACCATTGACCCATCTCTCCAGACTGAAAAAAAACTTTTTAATGCATATGGAATTTTACTAAGCTGAGGGCTGGGGAACGTAGCTCATTTGGTAGAGTGCTTGCCCTGCATGCACAGGGCCCTAGGTTTCATGACCAGTATTGCATTAGGAGGAGGTTTGATGGCCTGTGCCAGAAATCAAAGTACTTGGGAAGTAGAGATGAGAGGACTTGAATAGTCCTTTGTTATCCTTGACCACACAAGTTCTAGGCCAGCCTGGGCTAGTTGAGACCCTGTCTCAAAAGCTAATCAAGTTGAGTCCAACAAGATGGCTCAATGGATAGATGCACTTGGTGCCAATATAATGATGATCTAAGTTCAATCCTTGTATTCCACATGAAGAAAAGAGAGAACTAATTCCCACAAGTTGTCTTCTGACCCCCACATGTCAGGGCACATGCGCCACAGACTCAGATCCACACATCAGTCAATCAATACACACAATAACTTTTAAAAGTTAGGCATGTTGAGGAAGTAGAGGTTTACCTATGACACGCAAAATTTCACTACAACTAGATATTTTGCCCATATCAAAAATGAGACATATCTCCAAATACAAAAAGCCAAAAATCTCAAAATTCATAATTAGTGTTGTCCCTGACACTGTAGTCCATCGGATAATAGTAGCAATTTAGTAATAGGCAAGTTGTGTGAAAAGGAGATCGATTTCCCTAACTGGAAGGCATTTAAAAACAAGCAGAACTGAAAACACGTTTTCTGGAAAATCCAGTCAACCAGAACTTTCAGTTGCAGAACTGAGCACTGGATTTGATTCCTCGTTTACTTTATTCATTTCTCCGTTCAATACTTGGACCTGGGTCTTGTCCCTGCTAGGCAAGTGCTCCCTTACTGAGCTACAGCCCCAGCTCCAGGGCTGAGCTCTGGCGGGCTGGCCACTCCTGAACCCTCCGACCTCCTGCCTCAGGACTGGCCCTGTCGCTGTCACAGGCCCCTAGGAGCCTCCTCAGAAACACCCGCTCCACTCACTTTACCTCCTTCCCTGGAACTACGGCCTCAGAAAGAAAAGCAAGCGGATGTCCTGAGTCCTCCAAACCGGAAATGGCTGATCCTACCGGGCTGGAAAGGGAGCTGGGCCGCTTATGCTTATGTGCCTTCCCAAAAGAGCAGCCCTCGGGGCTGTGGAGGCTGCCTCTCAGGCCTTGCCTCAGGCAGGCGCAGCAGAGGAGCGAGGAGGCAGTTTTCCGGGTTCTGACGGAGAGGGACGGCGACCCCTGACCTCGTGACTCCCCCTCCCTTGTGTCCTGTGGAGAGCCTGCCGCTGCATAATGGCCGCCCGTCTCACCGCCCGGGCCTCGAAATCCCTGCTAAGCTCTCCAGCGGCTGTGTACGTGAAAAAGCCCCAGAGGCCTCGGCTTGGAAACCCAGGAACCTCCCCAGGCCCTCCGGCCTCCTCAAAGGCAGTTCCCACATCGTGAGCCCGCGCGGCCTGTCCTGTCCCCGCTGTTTCTGAGCCTCCTCGACCAACACGGAGGAGCCTCCCGTGCGCATGTGCTCACAGCTCCTGACTGCGCGTGCGCTGCAGTCCCTTTTCCTCTGTGTATAGCCCTGTGTGACACAAGTACTTTGTTTCCTTGATGCCACAGGCAGAAATGGTGGAGAGACTTCATCTTCACATTTATTCTGTGTGGATTTCAATCCATTGATATTTACTCAAAGCCCCGCTTTCAGGAGCAAAATAAACATACACACCACAAAGGCCGATTAGGGGTTAAAAGGACAGCGAATAAGAATTAAAAATGGGCAAATGAAACGCCCATATTTGCCACCAAACAGTGTTCCATCCCAGATCCCACAAGGAGGAAGAGAAGATTGTTGGACTCTAAGATCCAAAACCAGTAGACTCGCTCCCACAGAAACACACACACAGGCACACACACACACACACACACACACACACACACGGACGGACGGACAGACGGACGGGACGGACAGACGGGACTTGCTGCAATAACATGAGGTTTAATGATACCAGTGCACTGGGTCTCTCTTGCATGCAGGCAAGAGAGCCCCGAACAAAAGCTAGGAGCCGTTCTTACACAGAGTTCAAAAGGGCAACCACAAAGGACCACAAAGACTGACCTTCCCAGGTCTGGTCTCTAGGTGACTAGGATTCGAACATTTCTTTTATAACAATGAGTGTCATAAAAGAGACCTGAATTTCTCACAAGATATGTGTCTCAACCTATCTGACAGATTATTGGAACAACAAACCCCAAAGAAAGGGGAATTTCTCCTTAGGAATCTCATGCTGGGAAAAGAAAAAGGTGCCAATCAGAGAGTAACAACTCCCCCAAAAGAGATTTCACACAGTTCTAAGAGCTTGCACCTTACAGGTTGAGTCTGAAGCCCAGAAGATGGTGGGTCAATGGTGGGTGGGACCACATCATGGACCGCATAGACATGCATAACATTAGCCCTCTACTTACACCTCAGTCTCACTGCAGGACCCCGACGATGGATTGGAGGGGCTCACTGGATCGCTTTGTGCCCTTCCTAGTGTGTCTACATTGAGTGAATCTCCTTTCTTTGCTTTCCACTATTAATTTGATTCTTTTACTTGGCTCATTGATGATGGCTGAACCTGCCTTGGAGCACAACCTGTGACAGAAGAGACCCAACCCCCAAAAGCTATCTTCTGCCCTCTATAAGCAGAATGTCACACACACACACACACACACACACACACACACACACAGACACATCATTAAAAATAAAAAAGGTGGATAGCTTTTGATAATGTCTTCTGGCCTCCAAAGGCCTCCACACACTCATGAACACATAGAGAAAGAAACTAAATGAGACACATCTCAGAAGGCAGCTGCCAACTCCAAGAGCTAGGCTTTGGATAGGTAGCTGGGTGATGGGAACTTCCCACAACACTAGAAATCTGTGAGGAACTGGGGAGTTGACAAGTGTCAGGAACTTCTGGGCACAACTTTGGAGATGCTAGGTATGCTCAAGTGATCCTCACTATCAACGCCTGGTTCTTCTGCGGCCTCCTCAGGTTTCTCCACAGAGGCAGGAAGTGCCATCTGAGGTTCACTTCCTCCACCGGATGTTCAGGCACTGCTTAGCTGCAGTCCTCACCCCTGGGACTGTCACACCTCCTCTGCAACACTTTCACTTCCCCAGGGTTCCAAGCAGATTGGAGCACCTGGTCTAGAAGGGGGTGGGGGAGAGACCCAGAGAAAGAGGCACACAGGACAGAGACGGCAAAGACTCAGAAGAAAAAAAGACACCCAGAGAGACAGAGACAAAGAGACAGAAAGACAGAGACAGAGCACTCCGGCTCAAGTGGTGGGTGCTAAGCAGAAGACCACAGGATGCAGGGGGCGGAGCCAGTGGCCAGTGAGGTCAGAGTGTCTGTGAGGTTGGCCTCTGCAGAGACAGCCCCAAGGTCCCAGGACCCAAGTGAGTGGAAGTTCATTGGAAGCCCCTGTGCGCCCTGCCTGAGCCATGGACACCTGCGAGGAACCCCCCATTGTGTCCCTGGTACCCACATGTTCCAAAGACCCTCAGGTACTGCTGTGCGCCCTGTGGAACCCGTGAAGAAGATAGGGCCCCAGCTGACAGTCGCTAAATGAACAGGGTGGGGTGGAGCTCCACCCCCGGAACTTCCTCTTTCTCTGCCCTCTTCCTTTACGCCTCTCAGTCTGTGTCTTTCTCTGCCCATTATCGCCCTTCCCCCGCCTTGGCCAACACCTCTTCTGTCTGGGTTCCTCGAGTGGGTTGCTCCCCATCTAGGCGAAGATGTCTGCCCAAGAGAGTTGCCTCAGCCTCATCAAGTACTTCCTCTTCGTTTTCAACCTCTTCTTCTTTGTGAGTCTACTCATGGCTACCCAGCCGGGGTCTCAGAGGCACAGCGGCCCTGGATCTGCCCTGGCCTCATTCTCTTCTCTTCCCCTAGGTACTAGGCGGACTGATTTTCTGCTTTGGCATCTGGATCCTCATTGACAAGACCAGCTTCGTGTCCTTTGTGGGTGAGGGGGGCTGGGCAGTAGGGGAGGGTCTTGCTGGGATAGACTTAAACCCAGAACCCCACCCCAAGGCATCTCCTGTCCTCTCCCTTGCCCTGAGGAGGCCCTCAATAGTTACCATCTTCCCAGGCAGGGCTCAGGCTCTGGCACCCTGCTGGCCACTGCCACTGGGGGTGTACACTGCGTCTTTGCTGGCAAATAGGAACTATAAACCAGATGTAGTGGTGCATGCCTATTGTCCCAGTACCCAGGAGGTGGGAGATGTGGAGTTCCAGGCCATCCTAGACTACACAGTGGGTTGGAGCCCAGGCTGGATAATGAGGTCCTGCCTCCAAAACAACCACAGCAAAATGAGGTCGTGGTTACAAACAGTAATAACAGAAATGATAGATATTTCTCAAATACTTCCTGTGTCTCATTTTGGACTGGGGCTCAGAGACTCTCCCTTGTTGAGGTTCAGAGAAGGGAAGTCTCTTGCTGGGTGTCACACAGCCAGGAAGGGGAAGAGAAGAAATAAACTAGCAATAACAAGGAAACCACTTTGGGAGAGACCATCAAAACCATAGCAACTCAGACTTACCACATTGACCACTGGGTTGAACAGCGGTTATGCGAACCTTGGAACAAGTCTAGTGTATATGTGGTGACTCTCAGCCATCGTCCCAGCATAGGGAGGTGTAGGTGGGAAAATCAGAAGGTCCAGCTGACCCCTGGCTACAAAGAGAGTCCAAGGCCAGCCTGAGTTACCTGAGACTCTGTCTCAGAAAAAAAATGAAAAATCCAGAAAATTGACCTTTTTCTTCCTCGCCCTCAAAAGGTTTAAGAAATGGATAGAGCTGGGCATGGGAGGCAGAGGCGGCAGAGCTCTGTGAGTTCGAGGCCAGCCTGGACTACAGAGAGGCCAGCCTGGACTACAGAGAGAATTCCAGGAAGGGCAGGGCTGTTACACAGAGAAATCTTTTCAGAGAGAGAGAGAGAGAGAGGAGAGAGAGAGAGACTGACTCAGTGTCACACGACAGAAGTAGTGTGAGAAAGGAAGATTTGGGGACCAGAAACAGGAGGAGAATCTCAGAGGGAGAAAAACCAACTCCGTGTGGGGCGGAAACAGAGGCCCACCCAGGCAGATTCGGATTAAGGGACACATGGATCCAAGAGATAGGGCCCTTCCTGGGTGACCGAGTGGAACTGCTGTTTCCCAGCCCATTCACTGACTTTCACCACCTCAGGCCTGTCCTTCGTGCCACTGCAGACATGGTCCAAGGTCCTGGCTGTCTCAGGTGTCCTCACCATGGCCCTGGCTCTCCTGGGCTGTGTGGGAGCTCTAAAGGAGCTGCGTTGTCTTCTGGGCCTGGTGAGTGACATTCCCCACCCCCATTTCGGGCTGCCTCTGGAAGGCCTGCAGCCTGAGCTCCTTCTCCACTCTGTCCTCAGTATTTTGGAATGCTGCTGCTCCTCTTTGCCACACAGATCACCTTGGGTATCCTCATTTCCACTCAGCGGGTCCGGGTGAGTTTACTAACATATTACCCCAGGCTTGGAGGTTGAGCATCTGGTACAGAGAGAGAAAAGCAGGTGGGCATTGCTGTCAACCAAGAAGCTGGGCCATAGAACAACACACAGGGATAGAAGAAGACACATGGACACAAAGGTACAGAAGCATGTGGAGAATGAAAGGGAAAGCTGGTGTAGTGTTTCTTGTGCTCCTCGATACTCACAGGCTGAGGTGGAGAATCGAATTACCATAAGAGACCAAGGAGGCCACACTGACTAAAAAAAGAAGGGGTCATGTGTGATGGCACACCCCTTTAATTCCAGTGCTCTGAAGGAAGAGGCAGGCAGATCTCTGTGAGGCCAGCGTGGTCTATACAATAAATTCCAGAACATCTGAGGTTACATCGAGAGACCCTGGAGAGGGGAGAGCAGAGACAGATACAAATACACTTCCACTTGGTAGCATTTATTCAGCGGGCTGAGTGTTTGTTTGTTGGTTTGATCCCCAAGACTTGGTACTTGTAATCCCAGCACTCAAGATAGGGACGGGAGGATCAGGAGTACCAGACCCAATGCAAGCTACAGAAAATTAATTTTAAATTTATTTTTAAATAATTATTTTTTTAAAAAGATGCAACGGAGACCTAAAGACCCTTAGAAACACTTATGAGATTCTGAGGAAGAGAGTCACTGCCAGTCATTCAGGAAAAAAACCTAAGAGTGGCAAAGTTTTGTTCCTGGGGTGAACGCCATGGGAGGTGGCTGGGGCAGACCGAATGACTGAGCCTAGCTACACCCTCTCAGCTGGAGCGAAGGGTGCAGGAATTGGTGTTGCGGACAATCCAGAGCTACCGCACAAATCCGGATGAGACAGCAGCTGAGGAGAGCTGGGACTATGTGCAGTTCCAGGTATGTGAGCTCAGGTCTCCTGTCTCAAAACCGTCAGTTACTACACCTTAGGCTGCGGGCTGTAACATCTCAGCTTCGCCTTGGGCTTTTAAAAGAGGCTCTGCCCGCGTGTGGGGGTGCAGGTCAACTATTTCCTTATCCCCACGTCTGCCAAAGTGCTTGAGCATCCCCTAAATGGCAGCATTTCTGCCCTCATGTAACTAAGTCCTCAAATCCTAGACCCTGGGGTTGCTCCACCCGGCCTCAAATTTCTATGTTAGGAACTCTCATCCATAGATGCTTACAGTCCCGCTCCCTATCCACCTAGCCTGAGACAATCACACCGTCCAAAATCTCAGGTTCACCCTAAGCCATGTGGTTAGTCCCTCAGCCCCACCATACCTCCAGCCCATTGCCACTTACACACCCACCATCCCTACCCTGCTCCCAGGCCTGGCTGCACACCTACACCGGTGACACCGGGTCCCTGACTCTGTACCCCTCCCCATCAGCTGCGCTGCTGCGGCTGGCAATCTCCGCGAGACTGGAACAAGGCCCAGACGCTGAAAGCGAACGAGTCTGCGGAGCCCTTCGTGCCCTGCTCCTGCTACAACTCCACGGCGACCAATGACTCCGCCGGCTTTGATAAGCTCTTTTTCTCCCAGCTAAGCCGGCTGGGGCCGCGGTCGAAGCTGAAGCAGACTGCTGACATATGTGCACTTCCCGCAAAAGCCCACATCTACCGTGAGGTGAGACTAACGGTAGCGTCTGGACCTGTGGGCCTGGGGCAGGGTGGGGCGCAGAAGTCGGCTGTCGGCTGGGAGGGACTTTTAAGGGGCGGGATCTTAAGAGAGTGGACAGGGTTTGGAGGGTGCGGCTATAATCAGAGGCGTGGCTTCAGGAGGTGAGAGGAAGGGTAGAAAAAAAAAAGAAGGGGTGAGTGTGGCCCACACAGGCTTCAGGCTTCTATAACAGAGAGGGTTCAGGGGACTAGTGATGTGGTCCAGGCCTACGCATGGCGTCAGGAGGCTGGTCTTTTGAGAAGATGAGGCCAGGAGAAAAAAAAAAACGAGACCGAAAGGGCAGTCCCTTATAAGTAGGCGTGACCTATTTAGGGGCATAGTATGGCCGGCAGAACTTTAGCTGGATGGGCTACTGGAAAAGTAGTTGCGAAAAGGGCGGAGCCCTCTGCAGGTGAGAGGCGTGGTCTAAATAAGGGCGGCACCTGGAACGCTGGCCCAGAGCAAAGCTCGTCTTCAGGTTGAGTTCTAGAAGCAATGCCACCTTTACACGTCTTCTGCATCCCCAGGGCTGCGCGCAGAGCCTCCAGAAGTGGCTGCACAACAATATCATCTCCATAGTGGGAATCTGTCTGGGAGTCGGTCTTCTTGAGGTGACTTGACCCTGTACCCATCAGTGATTTCTCTATTGTAGATGTTTTCCCATTGCCGAGGTAACGCGCTTACTCAGCAAAGGCGCTGTTATTTAGGACAGCAATAGCATGGGATGGGGCGGAGGCCTGGCTTCTCTTAACTCTGATTGGCTGTACGCGCAGTGCTGCCTCCTCCCCTCTCCCGCAGGTGAGCGGGATGGCGTTGTGTCTGCAGCTACAGCGCCGAGCTCTCAGTAGAGAGCCCGCGCTGCCGCTGCCAGGAGCCGAGGGTCCGAACCCCACGCCAGGGCTGAACGCTGACGGCAGCGGCGGGCGCTGGGGCGGGCTAGGAAGCGGCAGCGGACGCAGCAGCACCCCGTGGGGCAGCTGGGGCATGGCGGGTGCCTGTCCCACATGGGGGGACAAGGCTCCACAAAGTAAGCTACCTATGGCGCTGGGGCCCTGGCCCTTGTGGGATGCAGAGGAGGAGCCACCTGAGACCGAGAGTGCGGGTGCTGAGGAGGTCGAGGCACATACAGAGGCTGCGGAGCCTCCAGAATAAAGGACCCTAGGCTTGCCCTGAGCCTTCTCTTTTGCAGACTGCTGCCGAGGTTTCCCCGCTCGCAACGCTGCCAATCACTCACATATCTTACGCATGCCTCTCCATTTGAGTACCACCCGTTCTCCAACCCTGATGCATCTCCTTTTTTCCCAGCTCGGCTTCATGACGCTCTCAATATTCCTGTGTAGAAATTTGGATCACGTCTATGACCGGCTGGCCCGGTACCGCTAGGCCCCAGGCCACTTGTCGGCACCCACGCACCTCCATGCAGTCAGGAAATGTTTCCTTCCTGGTTGGTCACAGGCTTGGAGCCCGTGCCTTAGGCCTGATTTCCTGGGGACCCAGCTGTCTGTCCTACCGACAGCCTTCACTTCCCCCACAGGGCCAGGGACTTTCATCCCCAGCTTCCTTCCCTGCTCCCTCCTCCCCACACCATCTGTCTGCCACCTCCCACATGACACCTCAAATAAATCCCCTTCGTTTTTGGTAAAAATAGCTTTATTCTCCTTCAAACATAAACCATCACTCTTGGGGGAAGGAAGGTGGCAGGGTGGTCCAAGGCTGACTTAAATGGGGTTGGGGGAGATTAAGAAGTCCCACCCCACTGCCTAGCTGAGAGACAAGATCACATCCCTAACACTGTGTATAAATATCTCCTTATATTAAAATTTTTTTCAGGTTCCACTTCACCCTACACCAAGCTGGGAAACCATTATCTTGGATTTGTGACATTACAGATCCCAGAGAAAGGGTGCGGGGGAGAGGCAGACATGAGACAACTGGAAGACAGGAAGGTTACAAGGCAATGAGTAACACGCCCCACATAGCCCAGCTCCCCTTTCCAGAAGAGCAAGGAGGGGACCCTGTAGAACTGAGAGGCCAGTGCTGTGCCTGTGGGCATGTACTCCTGTCCTCGGTCCCTGATGCTCAGGAGTGGTGTGTCCTGTCACATGCTCTCTGTGAGGTCTGTTGGGGATCTAAACTCAAACCCAGCTCACTCAGCTCTGGAACCAGGCTTCGGGCTCCTTTCTACTAGGAGCCAGCCCCCATGGCTCATGCTTCTGAGATTAGGCCTTTTACAAAATCATGGTCCCCTTTCCAAATCTCTCTTACAGGGAGAGCAAAAGGGTCCTTCCTAGGAAGGGGTGTTCTGAAAAACACCAGCAATGGGGCTCCATCAGTCCCTGACCAGGCGGTAGATGTGGTGCTGGGCTCCGCGTTCACTGGTGGAGACTTCAAAGACATAGGCAGTACACAGCAGCAGTTCCTGAGTGTCCCTGTTTGTCACCACCTGCCAGAACAGGCTTACACTGTAGGGTGGGGATACGGGCAGGGGATGGGGTACAGGACATGGGACTGCCCTGCATACCCTAGTTATCAAGAAAGGGAAACCTGCCATGCTATGTACCCCAAGTAGAAAGGATGCCGTGAGTCAGGTTCCTTGGGCAAAGAGGTCACCCCTAAGCTGAGAGATGGCAGGAAGGGGCCTCCCCATCATATCACATTCCCGAGAAAAGGGGTCCCCACCATGCCACAGGCAGAGAGAGGATCAGCAAAGCATATAAGCATAACCCCCAAATCAAAGGAAATCCCTTTTGCTCTGGACTTCTCAGGTAAGGCAGATGCTCAGAAGCTGAGGTACCCCCACTGCCCTAGGGAAGACGGGCTCTCCACATATAGCACAGCTGAGGCCTGTCCTCCCAGCCCCACCCCCACCATGTTCTGCATGAAGGGATCTCATTTTTGGAGTCCCCAGCGTATCACCTGGAGGATGGTGAAGTTCTCCAGGACACTGTTCATCATGTAGCGTTCAGGCAGCTGACGGAGCTTGTGCAGGAAGTTGACCAGGTACTCACACATGGGAGAGCGCAGCAGGCGGTACACAAAGCGTCCATCCTCCAGCTGCGCCCGCTCTGTCTGGGAGTGGGGAACACAGTGGCTGAGAGAGACCGCAGCCACCCTAGGACTGAAGCTTCATTCACCCTTAGCCTTTAAGAGGCTACTGTCAATTCCCTCAGCCAGAGGCCCCAAAGCACCTCAACTTCAGTGACTAGAGACCCTAGACCTCTGAACCTACAAACAAGGCACCCTCCATCTCCTCAGTTATGGTCTGAAACCCCGGTGACCTCCAAATACCCTCAATAGCATCTCCACACTGAGCTTGAGGCTTCAAGACCTCCCAGGCCCTCAAGTGTAACATCTCTACTGCCTAATTCCACAACTCCTACCGTACCAGAGCCCTTTTCATCTTGCAGAACCCATCTCTATACCCTTGAAATAAGCCCTAATTGTGACTTTTAGTGGCTTGTTTATATTTAGTTTAAGACTATCTTATGTAGTCCAGGCTAGCCTGGAACTCCTTATGTAGCCAAGGATAGACTTGAAACTCTTGATGCTTGGTTTACATGGGCAGGGCAAGCATTCCACAAAATGAACTACATCCTCAGCCTTTGAAGTCTTAATTCCTCGTACATATACTAACTGCCAGAGAAGCTGGGATGGCCCAGCCCATACACACCCCCATGCTTGTGACTGCTTACTCGTGATGCATGCAGTACCCTACCCTTGGGCCTCACCTCCACCTTCTCTACCACTTGCTTGCCAAAGGAGCAGACCTTGGAGGAGCAGGTAAGTGTCATGAGCTCCCGGCTTTCGTACTGGCTGCTCACTCCATAGAAGCCGCCGCTGCCTCCGCTGCTCCCCGCCTCCTCAGCGCTTGGACCCCAGTTCAGGTCCGCCTGAGAGGAGATAAGAGAGGCACAGGTGAGCTGGTGGGAACCCAACAAATTCTGACCGACTTGCACACACTTGCCTGTGCCCACACCCTGTCTCAGCTTCCAAAGTCTCCAGGTCAGCATGAACTGTGCTCTGTAGAAGACTTACCTACTGTTCCAGGAGGACTAGAGAAACCAAGGTCCCCAAAACAGTCCTGACCCTCATTCTCTAGGAGCCATAGAGCCCAGCTGTTTTGCCTGATGCCCCTAGCTTTCTAGAGTTCAGCTTTAGCCAAGCAAAACAATGCAAGCTTATAATGCTAGCACTTGAGAGGCTGATGCAGGAGGATCGTGAGTTTGAGACCAGCATGGTCTACATACAGTGGGAGGTTGTGTCTCAAAACAAGAAGAAAAAAAGGAGAGGAAGTGGGGTTGGGAGTTTCAAGTCTAAGAAAATGGGGGTGGGAGGGTGGAAGATGAATGTTAGCCCTGCCAAGGGCCTAGTTACTAGGAGGCATTTTACCCCTAGCAACTGGTTACGGTTTCATATCCTCCCTCAGTCCTCCCCCGACTGGCTGTGAAGGCAAGTGGAGACTATCCACTAGCAGCAAGGCCAGCCTCCTCCCTAGAACACTGTCAATCAGGAATGGACCCAAATGCCAGACATGCAGGACAAGCCTCATGGAGCCTGTGGCCATGAGAGTGGAGACTGCCTGTTCTCTGTCCAGGACTCCATCTACCACCCCAGCTACAATCATTTCAATACAGGCCAAAGCCCTATGCCTGTGGCCACAGTGGCTCACGGCTGGAACCTCAGCACTTGGAAGACTGAAGTAAGAAGAGGCTAGCCTAGGCTACATTATGAGGGGAACTCTGTCTCACAATGGAATGCCACATGTGTTGGTGCTCAGCCTTAATCCCAGCAACTGGAGGCAGAGGAAGGTCAACCTCTGGTGTTCAAGACCAGCTCGGTCTACAGAGCTCCAGGTCTACAGAGTTCCAGGACCGACAGGAAGGCCCGAGCAGCTGCCTCCAACAGCCTGTAACAGCCGAGCCAATTCAGAGCCATCTCAGGCCCCACGCAGAAAGCTTGAGGACCTTACTGGTTTGGTCTTTTACTTTTATTTTATATGCATAGTTGTTCTGCCTGCTCGTCTGTCTGTGCACTACATATGTGAAGTATTCTCGGAGGCCAGGAGAGTTCCTCTGAGCTAGAGTTAAGACACTTGTGAGATGCCATGTGGTCCTGGGATTGAACCTGGGTCCCCTGGAAGAGCAGATATTAACCAGAGAACCATCTCTCCAGACCCTTTATTTTGTTTTGTTTGAGCGAAGGTCTCCCTAAGTAGGGAAAGCTGTCCTTGAACTCTCGATTGTCCTGCCTCAGACTCCTGAGCATTGGGATGACAGGCGTGCACCATGATGTAAGTCTCAGGAAGCTTTATAACCAGACACCCAGGGAGACCGAACTGACTGAAATCCTGTGTGGACTTCCCTTGGAGGACCAGACCCTTCCACCGCCCTGAGATCTTCAGTGGACACCAAACCAGATGGGCCTGAGAAAGACTGAAGGTGCTCTTAGCCACAGCTGGTTATAGATAGTCCTCCATGTCCCCAAGATCCAACTCCATCCTAGAGCATGTCCGAGCAAGCAGTGGCATGCCACCTCCACACGCTCCCACATAGCTGTTGGTTTTCAAGTGTAGCTCAGGCAGACCCGACTGTCATTATTCAGGAGCACTCACCCAGAACTTGACCAGGAAGAAGGCATGTGGTGGCCCTCGGTCATAGAGCTCCCGGAGGCCGCCCTTTTTCTCAGGGAATTTGTCGTAGATCTGCCGCACATCCACACTCTCCAGGGGTGGTGCTCCTGGACTGGGGCACTGCTGACTGATGTGGACAAACAGATGCCTCTGGAACTGCAGAGGCAGCACAGGGTGAAGGGCTGTGGGCTGGACCTAGACCCTCACCCGTCAGACCCACCGGCCAGCACACGGCCATGCCTCCAGCTACATCCAGCAAGCTGCCCATTCCTTCTCTGTCCCTACCGTCCCAGCCTGCTCAGATCTAATGTGTGGACTTCCTTTGGAGGACCAGACCCTTCCATCACCCTCAGATCTTCAGTGCCAGTCATGAAACTGGACACCAAAGAACTGCTCAATCCTAGAGCAGGTTCTAGGAAGCAGCGGCATGCTACCTCCACACTCTTCCACAGAGTCAAATCTCTGGTCTAGCTTATCCAACATTTTTTCATCTCTCACACAGTTCTAGAACTGACCCAGTACCCAAAATCCAGAGCCTGCCCTTCTCTCTGCAGCCTGACCAGCCCCCCACCACCACCATATTTTGTCATTCATTTCCTTGAAAATTTCATTTCTGAGCCTGGAAATTTACAGTACTGCACAGAGCAAACTCCTATATGACCCTCAAAGCCCAACTCACACACGTCCTTTCAGGAAAACTTCAGTAGCTCCCCATGTAGCAACACATGTGGATGCATTATGGAATAATGCTCTGTATACACAAGAGCTAGACAGGCTGGCTGTGTGGTGACACTGGTCTTGGCTCTGGGGCTGAAAGACCACTAAGACCTCCCTGAACTTGCAAAAGTCAGTCTACCACAAAGAAGGGAAGCACAAAATAACTCACAGGTAATGGAAATGTCAGGAATAATTTATATCATGAAAAGAATCCTTGCAAGTATAGAAAAAGGCTCAAAAGTGACGGCCCATGAACCAGGTATGGTGATACGTACCGGCAAGAGAGGTGGTTCACACCCAC